ATATAACTGGTCAAAAAAATTTTCAATTAAATCTCATACAAAATTTTATTTAATTTTAATAAATTTTGAATTTATTGTAAATCATAGCAAAAAAAATAGCTCATACAAAATCCAATATCTTCACCTACTTATATAGATTTTAAATATTTAATTTATAAAAAAAAAATTAATGTGAAACATGGATACAAAAGTTATATATGGAAAAAATTTCCCCCAAAATTTTACCCTTACAAATTCATTTCAATCAGATTTGACCTAGAAATATAAAATTCAGATAGTTCTGAAGCATATCTCATATGTTCTCTCCTTCTTCTCTCTTTCATTTCTGGTGTCTGACTGGTTTCTAGTTGAACAGTCTCAAAATTTCTAAGAGAAAACAAGAGAGAGAAAGCGAAAGGTATGGGGTAGATATACAGATAAAGAGATAATCCAGATACAAGGTATTTTTATTGTATAATTCATTTGCTTAATTGATCATGGAATAATTATGTTAATTAGTTCTTTAATTGATTAATTAATCAATTTTTCTCTTTATAATTATATACCAATTCTATGTTTTGATTCATTTCGCAGTGCTTCTTCTCTAGTTCTTCCTTTTCACCTTGTTCTTGTGGAGGGTATCTGCCTAAATTCTCAAGGTACAAGAATCTATACCTACATAGATTCATATGTATTTGTTTTTCTTAAGTTTTCGAGTACATCAATTTGATTTAGACTTATATTTTTTTTTAGATTAATATTTTTTAAAGAATATGTGCTTGATACAACTGGTTTATGTATATATCCCCGATCTAGTCTAATATCATAATAGATCTAGGCAAATAACATGTTATTTCAAAGTTATTTTGTATCGATCTAAGTTTTGTTTCTATTTCTTTTGAATAAAAGATTCGCGCGTAACTCAACTATAATTTGTATTTGGCGCGTAACTCAACTATAATTTGTATTTAGCGCGTGAAACCATTTCAACTATAATTTGTATTTAGTGCGCGAGACGGTTGATGGGTTCGTTTAGTTACTTTCATATTTAAATTTTACCTTGTTGTTAAAAATTATTAATTTTTGTATTATAGAATGTATAATGGTATCAAAATTGGATTTTATTATTTTCAAAAATAAAATATTTATTATTTTCCAAGATAGGGATTATTGTTTTATGATAATGAGTTGTTGGGATGCAACTTTAAAAAATTTAACTATTTTGTGTGCTTCTTTAACTTATAGAGAGTGATTCTCCCTCTCTCTCTCTCTCTATATATACATATATAGATATCTTATAGAGAGAGAGTTGCTATCCTACAAATATAACGATATATAATGTTCGTAAGCAATTAATATCTTGCCTTTCTTCTTTGTAGACGAATCAATGGATATATACATGTACATAAATAAATATATGGTAGATACATATACGTAATAATTACTGAATTTTGTTCCATTTTTTTTTTACAGGAAAATGGAACGAACTGCTACTAATGCACTTGCGATTCGTGAATCTAACGAAGAAGAAACTAAATCTAAAACCAGGCAGAAAACTTCGATCTACCGTGGCGTTAGCCGGTAATATTCGTCCATAAATAACACACACACACACACATATGTATACATACTTGCGTCATTTTCATTTCAGTTTGTGACGTATAATGTATATCTACGCATATGTATATACTATATGTTAATTAATTAATGCATATATAGGATCAAAGGTGTTAAAACAGAAGCCTATGTTGCTCATTTATTTGACTCGAGTCGACGTTACACATCTGGGAAGAGCAAGACAGGTAAAAGTTTCAGCAAATTTGAGATTTCTTTGCTATTCTAAATGTAACTTTACAAGGTCTATACATGTGTATATATACATATATGCGGATACAGACATATACATATATATATATAAATAATATGAGTCACTTATTAAATTTTGTTTTCCTTTGTTTCTTTCAGTGTATCTCGGTGAGTGAAAAATTAAAGCCACTTCAATTTTTTGCTCTATGAAGATCAAGTACAGGAGTAGTAACATATATACATATACATATATATATTTATGATTATATATAAACACCCACACGAAAATTTCATAACTTCCTTGCAAAATGATTAAGAAATATTTTGTATGAGCGTGTGTAATGCAGGGAGATTCAACACAGAAGTAGAAGCAGCAAAAGTATATGATTTATGTGTTCTTAAACTCTGGGGAGCTAAGGGAACTAAAACCAATTTTCCGGTACGTCAATCTTTTTCTTACATATAAGTATATACATGTCCATATAGATGCCATGCATATATAGCAAGATCTTTTATCTTGTAAATTATTGTCAACTTTGTCCTATATAATATAAGAAATCTTCTGTATAAAAACAAGTAATATACATTTTTGTTTTATGCATAACTAAAGATAGTATATAAGTTGATGATCAATATATATATATATATATATATATATATTTTTTTTTTTTTTTTTTTTTTTCTGATTTGTATATACAGAAAAGTGATTACGCTCGGGAACTGGCGGAGATTAAAAATTTGAGTGGTCATAAGGCTTTGGACTCCATTAAAAGGCAAGACATATATATATATATATAGTGCATATATAAAATGCTGTCTATGGTTTTCTTTTCTTTTTTTTTTTTTTTTGAGTACTTGGGGTTTACTAATTACTCTTTAATTCTAAATTTAGGAGGATTCGTGGTCATTCAAATCGAACATCAGGGTATCGAGGTGTTGCACAGTAAGAAAATTATTTTTCGATCTTTTTATCTCTTAAATTTTTTAAAATGATGAATCGGTTAATTTTATTATTTTAAATATTATAATCCGAACAAAATATTAAAAATACGTATTATTAATATATGAATACATACATAATTAATTTTATTACTTTAACAACAATATTTTGTATTAATTCAATGTTGTGTGTGATCTTTCGAGAAGGAGTCCTAGCGGAAAATGGCACGCAAGAAAGGGTCGTCCCGGAAAAAATGTCTTCTTGGGAGTTTTTGGTACTAGTTTTCAATTATTATCAAGTTATTTTCTTTCATTTTGGGTTCATATAATGGATGCCCACATTGCATGCTTATAATCACCAAGCTAATGTACATATATATGATTAATTATATGTATATATTGGAAACAGAAACTGAAGTGGAAGCAGCACAAGCATTTGACATTGCATCTATAAAGCTGAAAGGAGACAAGGCAATAACCAATTTCGACATAGCAAACTATGATGTCGAAACCATTCTCAAAACCAAACACAAGATCATGCCTGAAGAGGAAGATGACAATGAAGAAAATCAAATAGTACCGCGACCCGAAGAAGAAAAAGTTTTTGTCCTTCCCGATTTGAACTTGATCCCAGACAGCCATGTCAAGGAACCAGAAACTGATAATAGTACTAACAGAAAAGGGGGGGACATAATGGTGTATGATGCATCAAACTCAAGCTTCCAACATGGCTCTTTGGTCTCTCCCAATATGAGCAATTCCTTGGAGTTGATTGCAGACAACTATGCTGATGAAACGGAAAGAGAGAATACAAAGAGAAAGGGTAAGGAGATAGTGACATATGATGAATCAAACTCAAGCTTCCTATATGGATCTTATAGCCCTTTTGTCCCTCACCAGAACTCACAACCAACCCATCAAGAAACTATCCAAAATGATCTGCCTCAGATTGGTTATTATGATAATAATTCAGCACCTAATGGGTCTTCAGCACCTAATCAGATCAACCCAGAAATATGTGCATTGAACTGGGAAAATTATCATGTGCCTAAACAGCTTACCCCTGCATTTGGTGGAAGGTGGGGATCAAAATCTCAAGGGAGTTATCAGAATCAGAAAGGGTCATCTGAGGTAAATAATACAGAAGGAAAATCAGTAGTGATTCATGATGATCATGATGGTGGAGATCAGACTTACAAAGACATGACTCTAGCCTTGTTGCCACCAACGGACCAGTCCTCTTCTGATTACGAGCAAATGCGGGAAGCCTCATTGGCCCTGATAGAGTTTCAATTCGCTGCTGCTACTGAACTTAACCAGCGTTCTGATAAGAAGCGATCAAACGCCCTGGTTCTTTATGATCATGATCATCAGACTGATGCATCGTCAATCTTTCGACCACCAAAACGCCCCAGATCGGAGATGGTGAGAAAAGTTAGGAGTGTTGAACAGCTGAAATTTCCCAAGTTCTCCATGTCGTCAACTTCTAGAGGTGCAAAACAGCCGAAAATTCCCAAGTCCTCCAGGTCAACTTCTAGAAATGGAGAACAGCTGCCAATTCGCAGGTCCCCCAGGTTAGCTTCTTCCAGACATGCTTACAAGGTCTGATGATTGGGAGATTCAACATATGCGATCTTCAAGTTGAATTTATAGCTGATATTATGTGTTTAGTTTCAACTCTGTGTGTGTTTGTTGCAGTATTTTGGTACTTTTTATCGCAGGATTCTCGCTAAAATAATTGTTGGGATGGTATTTTTATAACTCAGTTGGATTTTTTCAGTGGTTTATGATTTTGATATATCGGCGTTTTGATTCTCATTTCATGCAGGGATGGAAGGGAATGACGACTTGATTTATTGTATGCTAATTCTTACGTACAGATTTTAGTAGAGATTTAATGAAATAAATACACAAATAAATAAAATGTTTTTAAAAATCTTTCCGTTACTTTATATTTGGACTGGGCTAAATGGGCTTTTGAAGTATGATATTAAAGCCCACCTGAATTTTGTACGAAAAATTTGTCCAGTCCAAGCCCAATTACTACATTAAATATGTATGATTATGGGCTTGGATGGCCCAATAAGCCCATAAATCTTTTAAATGAAACCCTGGATAGCTTAGTTATCCTTTAGAAAAAATATACAACTTTTTTGGTTCAAATATTATTCCATTTCTTGTAATTCCTAATTCTAATTCTTATATTGATTATGATATATATATATATATATATATAATGAGTTTAGTTTGATTAGTTCCTACCCTGTTTTGAATTTCTTAAATCGAGAATTTTTTTTTTTCTGAAGTAAAAACCAAGAACATATTATTGATATGATTGCTCGTACAGAAGGGTTGGGAAGTGGTCGTCCCAAACACATGGCCTAGCGTGACAAAAGCTCTAGCAAGAGAGTGAGCTTCCATATTGGTTTGCCTACGAACCCATCTTATTTTGATATCATGTCTAGCTTGAAGAACGCCTTTACATTCCTCGAGGACAGCCCCCATCTCCGAGAAGTCCATCCTGTCCTTATATGCAGAGCAGAGGCAATTTGCTCGGAGTCAGTGAAGATAACTCCTCTTTTCTGGAAGTGCTCGGTTGCCCAATACAGCGCCTCCCTCACCGCAACCGCCTCAACGATCCCCGGAGGACACAGTCCAGCATGATGTCCCGATATTGCCTGGGAAAATCTCCCTTCTCCGTCCTGGAAAATCGCTCCAACGCCGTAACAACGCAAATTCTCAAAGGATGCCCCTTTCACAAATTATAAAAGAAATTATTTCTTATTCTAAATTAGTTTTACTTGAAATTTAAATGAAGTATTTTTGTAACCCTTTTCTTAGCAGGTAAAAATGCAAATCAAATAGTTCTATAAATTATAATTAATTTCTAGATATCACGTAACTAAATCGTAAATTTGAATATAAATGAAATAAATTTAAACCAAATTTCAGCCCTCTTGAGACCCCATCGCATCATGCTAGTTAGAAATGAAGTATAGCAAGTAGCCATAATGAAAATTTTGAACTCGTCATTAACCACATACAATTAAATACATTATATTTTCATTTACCAAGGGAAACAGCACAGCTTCTGTTATCTAATTCCATTATTCACATACATAATAAGACGGTCTAAACAATATAAAGAACGTTAAAAGAAAAGACATACAAAAAGAACAATAACTTACAATGCATGAATGAACTCTTAACTCAAAAGCATCTTTCTTTTTTTCTTCTCTTCTTCACCGTAGGTTTTCTCTGTTTTTCTCCACATCTCCGACTACAAAACTCGGATATACACAAGAAAAGCTAACTTCTATAGCTCAGGTCTCAGGTAGACCAGACTTCCCGAAGCAGAATGTACCTTGCATTTATACTGCCATAACCTGCATGCTCCTTGTGTTTTCCACCTCCATTGGATAAAATCAATGGAGATGAAGGCATTTTGTCAATGATAGATGTCAGAGGAGAATCTAGTTCCTCAAGTTCTTCATCGCTGGTGTATCCTTTTCTCTGTACCACGGATATGTTCCTTGTCAGTTGAGAGTTTCCCCCCACCTCTGCAACTTTTTCCGCAACATCTGCGGATGAAGGAGGAGTGTAGACAACAGGGGCAGCTGAGTAAGGGAAGCTTCTGGCTGAGTCTCCAGATAATCTCCGCTCCACAATGCTCTAAACAAATGAAATACCAACGTGTCAAGCATTTATCAAGGAAATTTTCTCTCCCGACTGAAACATTTAGCAGACTGCAGATAAAACTAAACTATCAGAGCTAGACACGTGAGCCATCTAGGCTTAGTAACTGCTGCTCCCTATGCGGAGTCACATGTATTGATTTCTACTGTTTACCGTAACTGAAAAGTTGGCATTACCACCTAATATATAATATAATAACCGCATCAACCTAAATGGCAGTTTATAACCTGTGCTGGTTTTCAATCTATAAGGCATGCAACAGTCACCACCATGTAATGTTTGGATTTATTTTTTGGTAAAATCTAATTTGGGGTATATATATGTACTCTGTTCCCTTCCCTCCCTTATGCAGGACGTTAGCAAATACTTCTAAAGAGAAGCAAAAAAATCAAAAGTTCAAGCATAGGGCTAGTGGATAGAACCTATATTAGTTCATAAGACAAGCGATAACAAAAATAAAACATTTTGGCAAACAGCATAGCAAGGAATAATAACCAAAGCTTCAGTATGTAGACAAAATCAAATCTATATAATTTTAATCCATTAAAGTTCTCTGTATATCCTGTTGGTTCAGAAGTAAAGGAAACTCCTACCTCAGCATTCAATGCTTCCAATACTGATCCTGGCACAGAATCTGGACAGAATTCATCTGGAGTGAAGTTGCATAGTATTCTTTTAATTAACGGAAGACTAATTGAAGGACACACCTAAAAACACAAAAACATAAAACTCAATCATACAATTCATTTATCAACTTAGAAGAGAAAAAACAAAATAAACTATATTGATGATAGTTTCAAAATAAACCTCCTTTCTAACCGATCGGTCTACAAGCATATCTTTGGGTAGCATTAGAAGATCACTCAGATGATCTAGCAGAATGAAAGATTTAGTCTCATCCTCTCCTACTTGTCTGTAATCCTCCTCACTGCTTTTTTCATCCTCTTTTGGAGAACTACCAGCATCCATGCCCAACATATCAGCAAGCCACCTAGACCAATTGCCGATCTGCATAGGATAGTAGTTCCCTTGTTCATGACACATGCATAGATAATAATCTTTTCATTTACAGACAAAAGAATATTCCAATATTATTCAAATGAACTGCTATGGCTTCACAATCATCCTTGTCAATAAGGGTTTCTTGGTTACTTTTCAGTTTTTCATGTTCTATTTCCTTTATCATGTAGTTAGTGTTTGCATGTTGTAGGGGGTTATTATTTTTATGATGGGATAGTTTAGGGTTGTCTTGCAGGCAGCTGTTGCTGTTGCGAGGTAGTTTTATTTGGTGGCATATTAGCAGTTCCATTTACTTGCAATCAGGTACATTTATTTGCTGTTTTGGGGATACAAAGAACAAGCAGAACTTAATATAAGTTCTGAGTACCCTAAACTCTATAGATACAAAAGATTTTTTCTTACTTAGCCCTTACTTTTTATTTAGGAGATCAGATGGTTCCTTCCCAAATTAGCCATTACTATTTGTTCAAGAAAGAAAATATCACTCAACTTACTCTTGACCTTTTTACTAGAGTTTTATGTAGAAAGATTCAAAACTAGGTCGATAGGATCGTAAGATTGAGGTCTAAAGCAAATTGCCTACGGCAGATTTTAGGTCCTTCCAGCAGCAATTCAATATCTTCCTGAAAATGAATTGGCGAAACATTGCACAAAATAGAGCTGAAAAGAAGCTGAATGCCCCGCACGGAAAAGGTAGGATTATTAGGCAAAAACAAGAACAAAACTAGATGGAAATAAGAAATTCAACTGAAATGATCCTTTTAGTAAGAAAATGAAACCCGATTTAGGAATCATCTCTCCTTCCACAAGATTTTTCAAGTGGGGAGTCCTAAAAGTTACTCTAACTGTAACTAAGTCTATAGTTTTAAGAAATAACAACTTAGTTCTTTCAACATTTTACTATTGCAAAATCTTTTTTTTTTTTCAAAAAAGATATTATAGTAGGTTGCTTTATACATGATACATATTAAGTTATCATTTAACAATAATTAAAGATGTGGACTTAGTTGAAAGATATGCTTTTATGCAATCAATAAATTGGTACTTTTTGAAACTCTGAACACAAATGTAATTATACTCAAACTTTAAGGATTTTGATATAACTTATTCTATTTTATTTGCCAAAAAGCTGTCTATTACATTGAAACTCAGTACTGCTAACAAATGCCACTGCAAGCAGAAGTTTCAGTACATCTTTTCTGCATCCTACGTGTTACTATTTCCATGACTTAACAGTTTCTTAAATAATTTCCCCTTCTAAATCAATCTACAGAAATCCCTAGAAAATCTCATGTTCTTCTCTTGCACTTATAGGTGAGAACTATAACTGACAATAACTATCCTTAATCAGAAAACACGACTTCCGCAGTATAGAGTTGCAGGGAGTGGAGGAAAGTAGATTTCAATGTCCAAACACATAATTTTCAGTAAGGTGAACCAGTTTCTTTAAAAGCAAAGGTATCCAAATGAATCGAACTACAAAGGATGTTCTGCAAACATAGAACATACAGAATTTTTTAGCTGTGCACCAGATCCAAAACTCAAATCTCCAGCTGGAATGGGAAGGACTTTAGAATCTACAATAGGATCTGAGACAGGATCAGTTGGAATCTCATGGACTGACTCCCGCAGAATGGCATTGAACATTGCTACATCAAGTCTGGCAATACACTGTGCCATAACCTAATCGAAGGAATGCTATTCCGGTTAATCAACCATTGTGGGTGGCGGAAAGAAGACGAATCTGAGACAAGCAGAGCATGTGATGCCATTAAAATATGTATGGCTTGTGCAAGGCTGTATGTGAATTAAAATGAGAAAGAAAAGACAAGCAGATACGAAATATATACCATTCTTGCCAGGAGAGGCAAGCAACCACACTCATGCCCGCCTGCTCGAACAGGACAAAGCCTTTGAAAAGCATCTTGGAAAGCATTTTTCCATAGGTTAATGGAAAAGCTTCCTTGCTGCTGATCACCCAATGCTGGCCCCAACAGCTTTCTAATGGTTTTACTGGTGGAAGAATCCTCCATTGGAGATTGCATATGTGGAGTCAAGGCCTAAAGCAGCACAAACTACATAAGATCATTTTAAAATCTATCTAGCCAAGATAGTTTAAAACTGAATTCAAGGGATCAAATCCATTTTAAAAACACAGTTCCATTGAGACCCCTTTTCAAAGGCAAACAGAAAAGATGCAAGCATAGTAGGACTGCCTAGACATTATAAAGTAGTCACTAACAGCATCCAGTTTGAGTAAAACAAGACTCTCTTCCATTTTTACCTGCCACCACACTGATTCAACAATCCTAGAGAATATCCAAGATTCAATTTTTTCTAGTGCAGCTGTAAAGGTTCCTGTTTCCTGCCAATCCTCAAGAGAATGCATCAAGTCATTAACTTGTTTGCCGCTGGAACTACCCTTCCATTTCAATGTTGCGAACCTCCCCTCACTTCTTTTGCTACCCCCATTTGACTCAGACAACCTTGAACCAGGACTTGAGGTATGCACACTGCCAAATGCCTGAGAAATTATTTCCCTAAGCACAATGGTGTTTGACAACCAGAATGTTAACCTGATCAATAATAAAACAAAAAGATCAGGTTAGCAGATAATAACTATAAATATTAGGAACATACTTGATATGAATATTATGCTTTTACCTTGAAACATCACTGCCGCAGGACTTGGCAATCAAAACAAGGCCAGATACAGTGTTTTTAGCAATTGTGGCTCGCTTGTTTTGAGTCCAGTGTTTACAGGCATGAATATAGAGCCTAGAAAGGCGTCGAGCAGGTGTATGCACCTTGTGTGCTGAGCTACCATGTTCTGGTACTACAGAATAGAGAGAAATTTCAAGAGCAGCTACTTCTCTCAGCTCCTCTTCAAGTTTCTCTATTCGCATTTCCATATCTTCAATCTTTTGATTTAATGCTTCCTCATTGTCAAGCATACCATTTTCTTCAGCATCAACTGTGTCATTGTCATGCTCAACACTATGAGCACCATTTGAGGCTTCATCCAAAACATCAACCTTTTTTATTTCCTGAATATTCCCATCATAAGTTCCACCTGAAGATTTAGAATGATCTTGAAAGTTTTCAGAATTTTTAGTAGGATTGTTGACTGTAATATTAGCAGGCACTCCGCTAACTGTTACAGATTTATTAGGAGTGTTACTAATTGTTTTGGGTTGTAATTGATTAGCTTCACCATCAGATCCAGCTGTGCCTTCATTAGGACAAATATCTGAGGAATTATTGCTTTTGGAGACTTTCACCGCACTTTCTACATTCTCATCTTCAGTAGCAAAGGAATCCCCCTGAGATGATGTTGAATCTCTTATTGTATCAGAATCTGATTCATATTCTTTCTCTTGTTCACGATCTTTGTCGAAATCACTGGAATGACCATCTAAATTTTCATCCTTCTTTGTTTTCTCAGCAGCTGTATTAGCTTTAGGATCTTGAGGAGTCTGTTCTAATTTGTTGACTTCGTCCACATAATGTATAACCAACTCTTCATAAACTTCAGGAAGCTGTGAGCCTGCAGTCGGCTCACTTCCTCGCATATTGGAGCCTGCCTTGGAATTCAAAACTTTCGGTTCACGGTGTTTTGCATTTAAATTTTTGGAGCCATTTGACTGCTGCTTTTGATCTTTTCTTCCAGTTTTTCCAGAGCGCTTTGATTGAATATCATTTGAAGTTCTCCTCTTCTCAATCTCTTTCATATTTAAATCAATACAAAAACTAACTAAAATGGAGAAGTACCGTGAGGCAGAAATAATAAGCCGACAAAACCTGCCAAAGCTTGTCAATAATATGCCAATGCTGGATGGAAACGAGGAAAATGTATTAGAGATTTCTGCTTTAACGTGCGGGGAAAACTAGTTCCGGAGCTCTCCTTCAGTATCCTAATATTGCAACAATCTGCAACAACAAAATAGCATTGATTTTTAGTGGCTAACTCAGCTAAGGGCCACAATAGCGCTTAATCAAAAATGTCATGCGTCATGAGATTTATGAGCTCTAAAACAGAATAATATAGAGTAAAACTAATCTGGCCAGCAGAGTAAATAAAAGTTGAATTGTCATTCCGAATCCTTCAAGAATTTTCACCAATTACAGGAGAAGAACTTCCATAAAACAACAAAATTCCACTGTAGAAAGCCTAAAGATCATGAGCACTTCCTTGGAAGCTGATTGTTCAAATTGAAATATCTGTTGTACGATTGAAAATAAACTTATTATGTCATTTGACGTTTCATTGTGCTCGAAAAGCACGAGATATAAGATGTTTCAGCTTATTTAGCATTTGAACTGTAACTAGTAAATGCATGACCTACAATTTTTTATGCTCAGATTTAGCAATAACAAAGAAAGAAAGCGACTGATGTTACATGATTGTGAAGACAGATGGCAGTGGACACTTAATGATAACCAGATAAAGATAATCAGCAAAATAGAGATACAACTCAGCAAAGGAAGTACCAGGCTATTTTAGTCACCGTCAAGCAATCTGAGAATATCTATGCAAGGTTCGAAGCAACCAAAAAATCTTCAATTGTAACAGTGACTAGATAACAGGCTGGACAAATTTGACGACTATTTCTCGAGATTCCACAACTGACAAGCAAAAGAGAAAAAAGAACACAGTTATCATTATTTCATTGTAATTTTTTATCCTAACCACGAAAGATCAAATAATCTTAATCACAAACGCAATCAACATCAAAAGCCAGCAAAGAAACTAAAAACTTCACGTTGTGAAGAAATTTCATTGCATCATAGAAGACTGAACCGAACCTACAGCAAGTAGGACCACTTGCAGATGTGACAGGATTCATGTACTACCAGGCAATAATCGTAAATAACCCTCTACCATCAAGAATTATGCCTCATTTTCCACTCACGCCTTAGACATTTCATGGAGTTCTGTGCTCCATATACAGAGTAGAACCAAACAACAGCTAAATCGACCTGATCTAATCTCGCAATTGACAGTTAAAACTACATCTGCATTCCTTCCAGATCGATCAAGAAAGCCAACTACATTCAGTTTCACCACCTAAAAAATGAGTTCAAGCACCTGATCTAGCCCAGAATTCACCAACATTTATCCAAGATACACGAATCAGAACAAGAAAATCGTGCGAACTAGAATAAAAATAGGAAAGAAAAAGCCAAAACTCATGCACAGCAACATCAACTAATAAGGAACCAAAACAAAACAGAAAAACTCAGCTGAAGCAGCAGAACACATACCGCATAGACTACGAAAAGTTTTCACAGCAAAGAAAATGAAAGCGAAATTTCAAAGGATAGACGCCAAACAGCACCGATAGTTACACTTGAGATCAGGTGCTTTAGAAGCAAGTTGCAATGCGTTTCATTCTGTCACTTTTCACCGCAAAAAGACAGAATGGGAAGAGGAAGAAGAGAAACGGCTAAAACTGTAAAAACAAAATAAAAATAAAATAACAAGCTGATATACCATGTGTATATGTGTATATATATATATATATATACTATTAACACACTGCAAAAAAACAAAACAGAGAAGAGAGACAGAGAGAAAAAAGTTACCGCAGCTTTTGGCTCCAGCTTCGAAGATCGGCAAAAGCTTAAACAATGTTCAATATCTGCTAGGTGCCGGACGCTCCTCGGGATTCTGTAATGCCAGTCTTGTTTCCTGGAAAGGAACTTTCTCTTTCTGTAGTGTGCGTGTGGCGTGGACAGCGACTTTACTATTTCCAGGACTTGAACTCGTGGGCCGTAGTGGTGGTGATGGGAGCGACGCAAGTGCGGGAAAGAGATGAGGAATTTAAAAGGGGTGGCGAATCTTCGTAGAGATATGTACGGATTAGAGGTGGAGTGGTGACCGGGAATGGCTGTCGGTGGGGGAGAAGTGACCGGGAATTGCCGGTTACACTTCGCGTATAACGCAAGCGTTTTTTTGATTATATACCTAAACTGCCATCATTTTTTTCGCTGAATTACGGAAGTTTCATAGTCTCTAGTCATGATTTGACTGGGACTGTCTGTGTCTACAGCCTGGATCTCGGACATGGTCATTGACACCGGCTGGGATGTAACGTCCTACCTTTTAATTATATATATACATTTCTATTTATTTTTTATTTTATTTTATTATCTTGTGCATAATAAAAATAATTTTGAAAAAAAAATTACAGAAATAATATTTTCCATTGGATTGGGTTCGGCCCAAGCCCACAGACTGCCCCGATTATTTAACTTTTTGCTAAATTAATTTCGTAACTGGTGCGGGCGGAGGTTCCATTCGAGACGAGGGAGGTGGGGCGAGGCGAAGATGAGAAGGCGAAATCTGTTGAACAATTCCTGGTTTCTCTTTCTTCTCGTTACGCTCACTCTGTCTCCGTTAATCCCTAATTCTGCGTTTATTCTGTGTGATCATACTTACATATGTGTGCATGTTTTTGGCGGATGATCTGAAATTTCTAACAGCGAGTTGCCTGTACCGAATCATTCGGATCGAAGGTGAATGGAGCTCACGACGGTTTCGTATGATGCAGATGCTAGGTAAATCCACTTTGCTTCATCGTTAATGATTAGATTATATATGCTATGCATCTTCTATAGGGACAAGATACCAAACAAGCATGTCTATATATTTGCGTGCTTTGCTTTTTGGATCTCATATTAATAAGGTAATTTATTTACTTCTGTTGAGTCTGGTGGAATTTATAATGGCTTCGAGTTGCTAGCTGAGAAAACGAAGGACAAAGAAGCATTAGAATTATGCTTCTACACCGCTCTATTTCTGAGAATTTCTATGACCGAATCGATCGGCCTGAAGCTTTAATCCAGTTATAATGCAAGGTCTAATTAATAGTTTGTCTGCACTACTTGAAGCAAGCGCCGACTGATATACATATATATATATATATATATACATACACATATATATAAAGGTGGTAGATTGAAGTTATATAAATCGACATTGTCCCTAGTTAAATGTTGAACCAGTTTCCCTAAGCGGGTAAGAAATGAGTCGGGTCTATTACTTATAAATTAAGTTCACTTAGATGTAAGTTTTTAGTTGAAATCTAATTAACAAAGTAGCAAGATTCAAACTGTAGTTTCCAATTCAGAATCTAGACCTCTTATTCTGAACTCCATAACTCCTGAACCAATTTAGTTGACAGAGATGGAAGAACTTCTATTTGTTTATAGATCTTATTACAGAAGCACTTTGCTTACCAGGTCGTCCAGATTCATGGCTGATGACCCATTAGGAGCACTAGCCTCCTCTGCCAATCTTTTCCAGTGCATGGCTTTCTTCTTCATCATCTTTCTCTTCTCTTCCTCCATCAGTTCCCTCAACAGCTTCTCTACTTCATTTCTGTCCACATCATTTGGGATCTCTAAACCAACCTCAAACTGTTTGCAGATGCTCCAACAATTTGTTTGTTGATCTGCAAAGAATGGCCAACAGAGCATGGGAACTCCTGCACTTAAGCTTTCGATTGTGGAGTTCCACCCGCAATGGGTTAGAAATCCTCCAATCGATGGGTGGTTGAGCACTTTTTCTTGTGGGCACCAACTTGCAATCAAACCTCTTTCTTTGGTTGCAGCCACAAACTCTGATGGAAAAACTGCGTTTTCTCCAATCACCAAATCAGGCCTTATTATCCACAAAAATGGGTATTTGCTGTTAACAAGTCCCATCCCAAATTCAAGTAGCTGTTGGTTGCTCAGTACCGCTACACTCCCAAAATTCACATACACCACTGAGTTGGGTTCTCTGGATTCTAGCCATTCAAGGCATTCAGTTTCTTCTTTCCATAGATTGTATCCCACAGACTGGAGAGAAGATTCGGGGGTATGATTGAGAAGTAATTGGAGAGGGCCAATTGCATAAAAGCAAGGAAACATGGATGAGACTGCATCCAAAGCTTCCCTCTCTAATCTGTCGAATGTATGAATAAGGATGGCGGATGATTCAGAAGCTCTTTCAACTGCTACCATAATGAACTTAAGCATGAAATCATTGGGATCTGTAGTTTGAATAAATGTCGACAAGTCCTTCAAACGTATGTCCTTCAATCCAGGAATGAAGTCAATAACGGTGTCCAACCACCCATTCGTTAAATAGCTCTCATCTGCAAATAAGAATGGAAGTCATTGTGATGGTTATAAGCATATACGATACATGCATGATTTTCAAGTACTTCATTTTTCAGGTGCTCAAAAACAATACCTGTTTATGATTGTCGAAGCCCCGAGAAAGGCCTCAGCATTTTTACCTCAGTGCTTGTCTCTTTGGTGAAGTTTCAGGGTTGCTCAATAATACAGATCCCAGGAAATGGCCCCAGAGAAATAATTGAGAATAAATTTTCTAATAGAACTATTAATTTGACACAATCAAGTGCGTGATATTATTATTCCGATCTCTTTATGCGATAAAAAATTTTCGCTGTGTAATGCATACCTTTAAGAGGCGTGAAGCCCTTCTCCTTAAGAGCCCTAAAGTGTTTCACAGCTACGAAAACACTCGCAGAACTTGGGAAGAAACTAACGACCGGGATCCCGAGTTCTTGGGCAGCTTCGGCAGTAAATGGCATGAAAGAGTCTGCAACTATACAAGTGACGGGAGGGATGTTCTTGGATGAAGAATGGTTCAGTTTGGCAAGGAGGTTCCTGAATGGAGACAATAAGTTGGTCGAAACAGAATTACATACAGCAACAACGTCTTGGGTGGCATCAGGATTTGAAGGAGGGAGGCCGTCGGGGATAGTTTCAAACTGAAAGTCAGGCAAGCCATCCAGAGAATTGGGGCCTCTCGATTTGAGAAAGCGTTTGTGGTTGAACTCTGTGTTCACAAAAGTAATATGAAAGCCTTTATGGTGAAGAAGCTTTGCAAGTTGAAGCAATGGCTTTATATGGCCTTGAAATGGATATGCGATGACCACGGCATGAGGCTTCTTACTTTCTTCCATTGAAGTCTTCTCTCACACCACAGACTGATTGGCAAGAAGGGATTTTTCTCTGCTTTTGTCACTGTATCTTTATGCCTGGATGTTGCCGAAAAAATTTGTTATCTTATCTGTAGACTTCTGAAATCAGATCACGTGGTCAGACGATCTTAATTAACTCATTGAAGTAATCAGGTCTTAACTCGTTGGGATTTGGATCATAGTTAATGTAAATAGCCGATCAAGTTTAACAGCCACGAACACGAAAATGTTTCTGTCAGACGTGTTGATGTCTCTTTTAAACTAAGAGGAGCTTATGTAGATTAAATAAAAAGATACAGGTGCGAGGGGTGGAGGGTGCGTCCGGCGAATAGCTTACGTGTGAACAATGGAGTGTGTATCCAGACAAGAGCTCACATTTACTTTAGGTAAGAGCTGATTAGAGAAGATTCAACGTCAGAGAAACTTTCTGGTTCTTAAGATCTGCATTAATGGAAGTTGATGCTATCACTTATCTATAAGGAAGTTTGGAAGAGATAAGTCCATGTGTCGTGTTAGGATTGGGTGGGACGAAGGCATATATGTAAAATGGATAGGAGCTGCCCGTATCAGGGATTTTTCCTTTAGACTGCTGGCCAGGTTTAGTTATGGCCTGGCAGGCTGGGATTGGGACAGCAGCCAGCCAGTGGGAGAATCGTTACTTATTAATAATAAAGTGCACTTGTATATTTGTTATTTATCATTTTACCTTCTTATAACAATTCAATAACGTTGAGTGACAACTCCTTGATTAATGTGTAGTAGCTAAAATCATGTCCACGAAATCTTATAGATTTCTTTAAAAAAAAAAAAAAAATTGGCATTTTTATTTTTTATTGTGGTCATCTTATTGATATATTTCCTACTAACATACCCAAATTTTGATTTGAAGATAAAATTATTTGGTTTACAATCACTTGAGCACTATGTAATTTGAAGATAATATTAAAATTTGGGTTCAATTTACTTTTTCATTTCACATGAAATAATAAGAATTTAAAATAAGTAATATAAATATTTGAATGAATAAGATGGAAATTCTAAGTTAATGTGATAGTCAAATCATCTGTAAGTAAATACTAGATTAATAGTAAATTGGCTAAATCAATTTTAGTAATTAAAATTAACATCTAACAACACTTCTTTAACGATTGAATAGGATGAAATGTATAATTAATCTTAATAACTTATTAAAAAATAATATAATATTTTTTTTCGTCATTATTGCTCTGAATTAATCTTAAAATATAGTTGAATAAATAATTATTTATATTTCATGTCAATCATAACTGACTAATGAATGACATGAAACTCATTTCTTTTTTTGTTCAATTATCTTGATCAAGTTCTTAATATAGGCGTTATAATAAATAACAGTATAAAATTTAAACTTATTACCAAAGTTAATAAATTTTATCTTGGTCAATCATTAATTGTACAAGTATTTAATCACACTCAATATCATTTCAATTATAATTCTATGATCATAAGTGTCCATAATTAAAATATAATAAATTACTTGTTAATTATTATGATGATTTCAAGTTGAAAAAAATTCTTACATCTTATCTTATTGATTGTTATAATAAATAACAGTATAAAATTTAAACTTATTACTAAAGTTAATAAATTTTATCTTGGTCAATTATTAATTGTACAAGTATTTAATCACACTCAATATTATTTTAATTATAATTCTATGATCATAAGTGTCCATAATTAAAATATAATAAATTACTTGTTAATTATTATGATGATTTTAAGTTGAAAAAAATTCTTACATCCTATCTTTTTAAAAGAATATTGTATTTATAATTTAAGATAATTTTAACCATTAAAAATTTTCAATTGGGTCGGTTCAATAATTATATCTCCGTATACATCATTTATATATATGATTTAGTTAATGAGATCAATTAATTTTCATCTTATAGAGATCATCAAATATATATTAGTTTTACTAAATCATTAATGTCTTATTTTGATGATCTAATGATCAAGAATATTTTATATTAAATCATAAAAACTTCACTTTCATTATCAAGATCTCTATGTTGATGTAAAATCTGTAAATTTAATAAATAATTTTATTATATAAATTAAATAATAAGATAATAAATATAATAATAAAAATATTATTGTCATATATTAAAATAAATTGTCAAATAAAAATTTATTCAATATACTAAATGAATAATTAGATTTTGAACATAATGATTATATTTCAAACAATATGTAGGTCGGTGGTAGATTGAAGTTATATAAATTGATATTGCTCTTAGTTGTCAAATGTTGAACCAGTTTCCATGAACGGATAAGATATGAGTTATATCTACTATTTATAAATTAAAAAAGTTCTCTCGGATGAAAGTTTTTTCGTTAAAATTTAATTAACAGAAATAGGACGGTAGCAAGATTCAAACTCTAGATTCCGATTCAGAAACGGAAGAACATTTGTTTGTTTATAGATCTTATGATAGAAGCACTTTGCTTACCAGGTCATCCAGATTCATGGCTGATGACCCATTAGGAGCACTAGCCTCCTCTGCCAATCTTTTCCAGTGCATGGCTTTCTTCTTCATCATCTTTCCCTTCTCTTCCTCCATCAGTTCCCTCAACAGCTTCTCTACTTCATTTCTGTCCACATCATTTGGGATCTCTAAACCAACCTCAAACTGTTTGCAGATGCTCCAACAATTTGTTTGTTGATCTGCAAAGAATGGCCAACAAAGCATGGGAACTCCTGCACTTAAGCTTTCGAGTGTGGAGTTCCACCCGCAATGGGTTAGAAATCCTCCAATTGATGGATGGTTGAGCACTTTTTCTTGTGGGCACCAACTTGCAATCAAACCTCTTTCTTTGGTTGCAGCCACAAACTCTGATGGAAAAACTGCGTTTTCTCCAATCACCAAATCAGGCCTTATTATCCACAGAAATGGGTGCTTGCTGTTAACAAGTCCCATCCCAAATTCAATTAGCTGCTGGTTGCTCAGTACTGCCACACTCCCGAAATTCACATAAACCACTGAGTTGGGTTCTCTGGATTCTAGCCACTCAAGGCATTCAGTTTCTTCTTCCCATAGGTTGTATCCCACAGAGTCGAGAGAAGATTCAGGGGTATGATTGAGAAGTAATTGGAGAGGGCCAATCGCATAAAAGCAAGGAAACATGGATGAGACTGCATCCAAAGCTTCCCTCTCTAATCTGTCGAATGTATGAATAAGGATGGCGGATGATTCAGAAGCTCTTTCTACTGCTTCCATAAGGGCGTTGAACATGAAATCATTGGGATCTGAAGTTCGAACAAATGACGGCAAGTCCTTCAAACGTATATCCTTCAATCCAGGAATGAAGTCGATAACGGTGTCCAGCCACCCATTCGTTAAATAGCTCTCATCTGCAAATAAGATTAGCGTTTCGTGTGATGGTTATAAGCATATCAAAATACATGCATGATTTTCAGTCATTTCGCTTTTGAGTTGCTCAAAAAACAATAGCACTTTATGATCATCGAGGCCGACCCCAAGAAAGGCCTCAGCACTTCTAGCTCAGTGCTTGTCCCTTTGGTATGGTATGCCCGATGATACGGCTTCCAGAAAAAAGCCCCGAAGAAAGAAATTAGAAAATCGTTCTGATAAAACCAGTATATTCACACGATCAAGTGCATGATACTGTTATACTTAAAATCTCTTTAGCAGATAATGCAAACCTTTGAGAGGCGTGTAGCCCTTCTCCTTAAGAGCCCTAAAGTGTTTCACAGCTACGAAAACACTCGCAGAACTTGGGAAGAAACTAACGACGGGGATCCCGAGTTCACGGGCAGCTTCGACCGCAAATAGCATGGTAGTATCTGAAACAATGCTAGTAACGAGAGGGATATTATTATTAGATGAAGAATGGTTCAGTTTGGCAAGGAGGTCCCCGAACGGAGCCAAAAAGTTGGTCGAAGCAGACTTAAATACAGCAACAACGTCTTGGGAGGCATCAGGATTTGAAGGAGGGAGGCCGTCGGGAATGGTTTCAAACTGGAAGTCAGGCAAGCCATCCAGAGAATCGGGACCTCTCGACTTGAGAAAGCGCTTGTGGTTGAACTCTGTGTTCACAAAAGTAATATGAAAGCCTTTATGGTGAAGAAGCTTTGCAAGTTGGAGCAATGGCTTTATATGGCCTTGAAATGGACATGGAATGACCACGGCATGAGGCTTCTTACTTTCTTCCATTGAAGCTTTCTCGGATCTGACTTCTTATCTACAGGGAGGATGGCAAGAGACGAGAAGTCCAGATTTCGTGTTAGAAGTGGATGTAGAATTGATAAGGTTTTACACTGCTGGTTGGGCCTGTTATGTTGGGCCTGGTTCCAGCCTGGCAGGCCTGATGGGCTGGGCCGGGCCCAACTATTAATTATTAATATTATTACTTTTATTATATATTAATTATTAATTTACTTTTAAACATATTAAATACTTTAAATATCTGCATAAATTAAATATAAAAAAAAAATACCATTTTCTAGAGGCTTAATTATCTTTTGAGCATAAAATTATTTTCCACCTTTGTAAAATTAATTTATAATTTTTTAAATTTCTTTGTATTTACTATTATTTTTCTGGGAGTAAAAAAACATATTTATATAAATAAAGACACAAAACTAAAAAGGAAAAAACACGTTATGAACAGTTAAGAGTTATACGACATAAATTTAAGATTCTATTTCCTAATTCTGTTCGAATAAGGAAATTTATTACATTTCCCACAGTATTTAGGAAATTCGTGTATCTATATATATATATATATATACTCGCTATACCTCTGTTGCTCGGGTGACGATAAGCGAACCCTGCTTTTCTTCCAGCAAACTGATCTGTATGTAAATATATATACACGTATGGATGAAACTTTCAGGAGATTGATGAAGAGGAAAATAATGGGTGGAGTTCAAAAACCAGGAAAGAAAATTACAAAAGGAAGAAGAAAGTTGCTTAATCAAAACCCTACCCATTGATACGTTAGTAGAAGTAGCTGGCCGGGTTTGCTCGGTTTCCTCTCCACTGATCTTCTAAATGCCAAACTGAGTTGCAGGGATTTCCTGGAAGCTTCAGACCATCCTCGTGTTCTGGAACTCGTTTGCATCGACAAATTCCCAGCAATTCCATGGCGGATTAGCAAGGCCAGCTCTTGCTTCATAAGGCAGTGCAGAGAGAGCGGCAATGCGGAGGCAATTTACAGACAAGGAATGGTGGAATACTTCAGCTCGAACCGTAGCAACCAGGAGTCAGGGCTCCGGCGGCTGAAGACAGCGAGAGAGAAGGATCGCAGAGAAGCAATGTACGTGTATGGCATTATCCTGTTTGTTTATTCCGGCGGAAGGGAAGGGATGAAGATTTTGTCTCGTTTGATTTTTTCCGACGTCGAGAAGTGTCGGGAAAGACTGAAATCGTTGATGAAGGAGATGTGGGTGAGTACATGTGTAGTTGATGCAGCTTGATTCTCTTTACCGTCTAAACGACACCGTATGCGGCTGCGCTGGTAATCTACGCACGTCTCTGCATGCAAACAGTGGGTGGCCGTTCACCCCCAACCTCAAACAAGATGACGTTGATTTTTGTGACCACTGTTTTTGGAATGATCAAGTTGGTCTGTTCCTAGATATGCTAAGGAATTAACGCATGGGGATATACATATATACATATACACATACATGTATATATACATATATATATATATATTCGTGTGCATGAATATTATAGCCAACTTGCTAAAAGTTTTAGTGAGGCCAAAAGAAAACGTAAATTTTCAAGCTTCACCAAATATACTTGCGCCTCTCATCATCACAACATATACAAATATAAACATAGACATATATATATATATATACACATACACTTATGCCTCAACTTGAGAAGAGAATGAAAATTGAAGTGAAACGAAAGAGGCAAAGCTTAAACTCACAAGTTAAAACAGTGTTAAGTGGGAGGGAGTTTCTCCAGAAAAGTTATGAGAGCAGAAAGCTTCCCACACTCTTAATACAACATTGAATCTGAAATATTTGTCTCGGACAATAATATTTTCAAGCAATCTCGATGTGCCTCTAGAAATAAACTCGACCCAGAAGATCAATATCTAAGATGTGCACGCGCGCACACAGGTATAAACATGCATGCACTCGCATGCACACACGAATGTCAACCGGAAGGGAGGCTGCAATAAGTTTCAAGCATGGAGAGACAGTAGTGGAAAATAAAAACACATACAGACACAAACTTCAATTTTAAGGGAGGCTCCAGTAAGTTTCAAGCATGGAGAACCAGCAGGTAGAACTAAAACACAATAAGTATTATTAAGACAGTACAGTTTGTTTTCTGCCTCTTCAAGGGGTGAAGATTAGATCAAAAATGGCCTCAAGTCAATAAAAATCTATGCTCCGGAAACCAATTACCGATATGGTACATATATAAGACAAGCAAAACAAAGATATAAGTGCATTATCCTTCTGTTTCCATTGGATATTAAGTCAAAGTCACGCAGATGAGAATCAAAGAGTGGCATCACTTGGCACCTGCTAATTGCAAGTTTTCTAGAGAAAGTATTAATTTACTTATCACCCAAAAAAATTATTCATCTATTTGTTTATTTTGAGAAGAAAGCACATCCATGCATCAGAGAAGAAAGTAGAGTTTGTTAAGGACTATAAGGAATCACATAAATAATCCCTAAGCGAAATGAGGGTCCAAATTTCAAAACAATCAAGTAGAACTAAGAGGAAAAACTGAAAACACCAAAGGGTTCTTCTCACAAACTAGAAAATAAGTACCAAAAGGGGGATTGGGTTGAGGCGAGGGGAATGAATGGCAGATGAAGGTTGGAAAGCCAGAAACACTTGCAGAAAGGTAATAGACAGAGGAAAACCTAAAGACCTTTTCACTACCCCAAAAGTTGGAGGCTAGAATGTTGCAGGACTCTGCTTCAAATCACTTAACTTTGTCTTGAGAAAAAACTTTGTACCCTTGACTATTCTCGGTTCTTTGGAAAGAGAGGAACAAAAAAGTGTTTGAGACACTTGCTCTTCTTTTGTTAGAGCCAGAGATTCTTGGTTCCATTCCCAAAATTTTCTGTTGACAGGGATGCTAATCCTGAATGATGAGGATTCACAAACCTTGATTAATTTTTTGACAATTGACCTTTCGTAAATATAGTTGGTTGGCAAACTTGGTGCCTTTTAATGTTATTCACTTTTTCAGCCAAAACAAGAAGAATACAGAGGAACAAAAACTGAAGGTTTCCTTTTTTTCACAAAGAAAATATACATTCAATATGCACCACAGGACGCCACCCATGTACAAAAGAGACAATTAAAATGTAGTTAGTAAAATGTCTATAAGGTTCCCTAATTCCTCCCGTCAAGCAAAGGGCAATCCACAAAAATGTA